ATAGTGGTCGACGGTGACCAGGAACTTCTGATTGCGACCACGGAACTCACTGAAGAAAACATCCATCGAGATCAACTGGAACGGATACAGGGGAATTTGATGACTCATCATGGGTGGATTCGGCTGCGACGAAGCAAATTTTGCGCAAACCGGACAACCTTTCACGACATCCTTGATTTGACTGCTCATGCCTGGCCAAAACAGGTTTGCTCTAGCCAACTTGAGAGTCGCTTCACTCCCATTGTGACTAACGTGACACTTTTCGATCATCTCTCTTCGCAAAGCATGTGGAACAAGAATGCGATCATGTCGAAAAACGATTCCATCCTGTACTGATATCTCATCCCGATACCCGAAATACACACGGAGTCCATCTGGTACTTTATCAGCCGTTCCAGGCCAACCTTGCTGAACAAAAGTGATGATGCTCTGCATACAAGGATCCCTCACCGTTTCATCCATGATCTCGTTCAGGCAACTGTCCGATATGTTAAGAAACTTCGTAAGCTCCAACCCTTCGACATCATCAAACACTTTGTAAATGTGCATCTTGTTATATTCGTCTTTCACTGCCTTGTCATCGAACGGTGCACGGGATAGCGCATCAGCCACAACATTTTCCTTTCCTGTGACGAACTCAATTACCAAATTGTAACGTTGTAGGTTGAGCAGCATATGTTGCAATCTTCTTGGAGCAGACAACAAAGGCTTCCGGAAAATGCTGATCAAGGGCTTATGATCGGTCTTCACAATCGTTTTCGGATTTCCAACCACAAGTTGGTCGAAACGAACACACGCAAACAGAATCGCCAACAGCTCCTTCTCAATCTGCGCGTAGTTTCGTTCAGTCGCAGTCAACGTCCTTGAGGCATAGCCTATTATTCCTTCATCCTGGTAGACAGCAACTCCCAATCCAAAGCAACTTGCATCGCATTCAATGGTCAATGGTTTTCTTGGGTTATAGTACTGCAAGGTTCCAACGTCTGCAACCAAGCCCTTTACTCGGTTGAACTCTTCCACCTCAATATTCGTCCAGCGCCAGGGAACTTCATCTGAAATCAGCTTACGAAGGTTTGTCAGGTTGCTGCTAAGATTTGGAATAAATCTGCCCAAATAGTTCACCATTCCAATAAAACGGTGTATTTCCTTCCGGTTGAGAGGTGTAGGAAAATTTTGGATCGTAGCAACCTTCGACTCATCTGGTAGAAGACCTTTGCTTGACAGGACATGTCCGAAGAATTTCGCAGACGTTTGGCAGAGCTTGAGCTTCGTTTTGTTCAGTTTTACGTTGTGCTCTTCCAGGCGAATTAGAAGATTCTTCAAGCATCTGTTGTGGTTAATGAGCGCTTCTTGCAAAGTTTCCCCAACTCCAAATATCAGCAAATCGTCTGCCAAACATTCGACTCCTTCGAGACCCTGGATAACCTCCTGCAGCTTCGTCTGGAAGATTTCAGGAGCTGATGCGATACCAAAAGGCAGCCTAGTCCAACGATACCGACCGAAAGGAGTCCAAAATGTTGTAAGCTTGCTGCTGGGTTCGTCGAGCTCTACGTGCCAAAACCCTTTCTTGGCGTCCGCAGTAGAAAACACCTTCGCCTTGCCCAGCTCAGGAAGAATTTCATCCAGTGTAGCAAACTGTAGGTTCGGTCTCTTCAGCGCCTTGTTGAGTGGAATAGGATCAAGACAGATTCTGATGCTTGAAGATTCCGGGTCACCCCGTTGCACAATCACAATGTTGCTGACCCAATCGGTATGCCTGGCTTCCTTCACGATCATTCCCTCCTTCTCCAATGATTCCAATTCGTTCTTCAACTTGCTTCTCAGGGCGATCGGAACACGACGAGGAGGTTGGATTGAAGGTGTAACAGAATGGTCTACCTCCAACGATACTTGACCTTCAAATTTTCCGTAACCAGAAAAGATTCCTTTGTGGCCTTGGATAATCTTCTCCGCTTCGATCCTGTGAACATTCAACAAGTTTGGCGAATTTGCTTCATCAGACTTACCGAATGTGACCGATTTGCAGAACTTGACGAAGCCCAGAACACGTGATGCCTTTGCCGACAGTAGGGGGCAATGGTCCACGTCCACAACTTGCAGAACCAATCGGTATCGACGCTTCATCCGACGGCACGGTATCTTCACTTCCCCAAGCACTTTGATGGGATTCCCACCGAAGCTTTGGAGCTTGTACGTCGACGGCATCATCTGCGGGGTTTCCTCTCCTGTGAGTTTGACCAACCAATTATGGCCAATCAGGCTGGTATTAGCTCCGGTGTCCACTTCGCAAATCACTGACTTCCACTTGTTATCAAAGTTGAGATCCAACTCAGCCATCACGCCACCTCCTTTCGATGAATTATCGAAAATCTTGCCGATTTCGTATTCGTCCTCGCTTGCTTCCGATGAACCTTCATTGCAAGAAAGTGCTTGCTCCTCCGAATCAGTGCTTTCGTCCTTCACCTCCTTCACCTTACGAGACTTCCTGTTCTGGAATCTGTTGCTGGCCTTGCATACCTTTCCGAAATGGTTCCTTCCGTTGCACCTATGGCACCGCTTACCAAGAGCGGGACAGGAACCTTTAGAGAAGTCATGACGGTCTCCGCAGAACTTGCACCGCTGTGATTGAGGCTTGGAACGGAACTTAGCTTTCGCGACTTTGTTCACCTCTACTTCCGGATAGAAAACTGAAAGTTCCTGGGACCGCTTAGTCGTGATCTCCTCCGCTCGACACATGTCTATCGCTTTCGTCAATGTTATGTCTGCAATGCTTAACATTTTTGATCGCATACTTGGCCACTTGTTGGACGTGACCACCTTATATGCGATAAGGTCCGTCTCTAGCACTCCGAGTTTAGCCATTTTTGCCAGAGTCTTGAGACGAGAGGCATAATCGTCGATTGATTCTCGAGTCTGCTGTGTCGTAGAGAAAAAGTCGAGCCGGTCCACTATGACATTCCTCTTCGCAACAACCTTCTCTCGTATGGCGGCCAATGTGGCCTCCGGATCTGCACCTTCCGCTGCTGTCAACTCGAAGTTGAAGTATTTTTTCCTTGCCGGCTCTCCTATGACCGACAGCAAGAAGCTTACCTTCTGTGGGTTTTCTTCTGGCGGCCACCGATCCATACCAATGGCCTTAGCGTAGTCTTTCCAGCTTTTCTCAAAAAAATCCATGTTTTCCTGCATGTCGCCTTCCACTGCTAGCGGCGATGGTTGCGGAACCTGCACATTCGACGCACTTGGCCGCTGCATCGCTTGAGCCTGATTCTGCGTCGCTTGCATTCCCTCCATCATCTTCGTAAACATCTGCATTTGTTGCTCCAACAACATTTTCATTTGATTTGCATCCATTTTTAAGCGAATCACTCTTCACTCCCGATCCCGACCGAAAAATACAAAATGGCCGCTGACACGACGCGACTTGAGAACGATTTTCCCCGGACCGATTTCCGATTCGCGATTTCGATAATGACGCGAATTTTCACTTGAAGCACACGGTAACTTCTGACACCATGTTCTATTTTAATAAAACACACTAGATTTAGTTTAGTAACACTCCAATAGTCTCTTTATTCACTAGCGAACTGTACTCTTCGATACGCAGTAGAGTTATGAATGAATCAACAAAAGCATGAATGAAGTGAGAGGCAAGAGAATGAATGACAACCCAGAAGGGGTGCACATACTCTGTAGGGATGTTCAAGTAATGCAACAATGTTGGCGCAAATTAAGTGTGTAGAGTGACCACCCCTTGTGTAGTACTAGAATTTCGACTAGAATGGGGTACGTCAATAGATTTGCTTGGGACCAATAGGCTAGTCAAGTAGTGAGCCAATTTAAAATCGTTCGTTTCCACCGGTTGGTATTATCGTTAAATGATTTATTAAGAAGTTTGGTATACACATTATGAAAATATCTATAAAAATCGACTTTAGTGCACTCGATGGGCAATTTTGGTTTTGTGAGCGTTCCGTAGACCATGATTTAAGCTTGAAGAATCCTATAAAACTTATACAAAGCTTGCAGTGTTACTTGGGATGTTTGGTTCCGGGCTCCCATAAAGGTAAATACTGGAATGATTGTACTTCATTGAAATTAAATAATACAATGTGTGTTCCGTGCTGTGGCCTTTCATTTAAGGTGAATCACGTGGATTTTTCAGATATATGGCAGTAACATCACCATTGACGTTAACTGCCAGTCAGATAGTTGCGACAACTCTGTTCGATTAATGGCTCAGATTTGACAGGAATGGGCTTGAAATCACTCTCCTATTGTCCCAGTTTCTATTGAATAATCACCTTTTTTACTTGAAACGAATATTTTCACATAAATCACAGTAACCGAACGCCGTTTGGTCACGCACCGTTTTCGGCATCGCCGTCGTTATCGCACCTGTTTGCTTTGACCTAAGCGTAGTTAGTTGCACATTATCAGCTCAAATTCCACCGTAACCGCGTGAGTAATGTTTACCTTTTTTCGTAGCGCAACTATCAAAACACACACACACATACACAACCACTGATAACACGTTAGTCGTCGCCGTCGCCATTGATATAGAACACAATCATAATTTTCACTTTCGTTTCGCAACCCACATAGGCTACAAAATTGCACAAATCCGATAAAACTTACCTCGATTTCATTGTTTTCGAACCACTCGTTGCAGTAATAGCACGATGCTTTGTTAAACTTGACCGTTGTCGATTTGGCTGACATTTTTCCGGGCTTAAAAAAGGAAAAAACGAAAAACAAATATCCACCACGAAAGGTGGGTGAGAACTTGCCCTGCTTAAATAAGTCGAGCTTCTGCAGAGTAACAGAAGCACCAGCAGTAGGCGGTGTCGTTTGGCCGTCTTATCATCATTTGCGCGGCGCTTGGTCGGCCTTTTCCGAGATAAGCAAACGCAGGGCTGTCATCGGATGTGAACGAAAAATGCAGGCTAAAATCTGACACATTTCCTTTACCAACATTTCAATACAGCAACTACGGAGTCAACATTCAATACTGTTTCGGTTTGCTTCATTTCTAATGAATATTGTCGTATTCACAATCTTTGTTTTTGGTTTCGATATTATTTTTTTCTGCTTTCTTTGACAGATTTGGTCAAAATACAGACACCATTTATATATACTACTGATAGCAACTCTCGGTGTGGTTTTCCGTTTTCCAAAAATAAACCAAATTGAAACATCAAATTGTTCATAACAATTCCCAAATCTCTAACCAACTGCGGGCTAGATTCTCTAGCGCTTCGTATAAAAATATCATTCATCGTCAACATTTGCCTAATTCGTGCCTTGAGAGATTCGAACAAGTCGGTACAAAAAAACTACGCTTCGCTTTCTAACACCTGCAGCCGGAACCCTTCTGCTGACCGTCCTGGCCATCCAACTTGACCGGGGGGTTCTTCGTGTCGACAAATAGCATCGGAACGCCCCTCCGGGCCTGGATCGTCGAGCTGAGCACGATGGTTTCGATCCGTTTCATAACCTTATCCAGCAGCAGCTCGACGGCCGCATTGACGTTATGGCCGGTGAAGGCGCTCGTCTCAATGTAGTCGATACAGTACTTGTCGGCCAGGCACTGCGCCCTCGTTTCGCTCACCACCCGCTTGTGATTCAAGTCGGCCTTGTTGCCGCACAGCACTATGTCCGGATCTTCGCAGTAGGCGTGCTGCTTCAGCTGTTCCATCCAGTTCTGCACATCCAGGAAGCTCTGCTCGTTCGTGATGTCGAATATCAGGATGAAACCCATCGAGTCCCGGTAGAAGGCCGTGGTCAGGCTGCGGAAGCGCTCCTGCCCGGCCGTGTCCCACAGCTGCAGGTGTATCCGATGGTTGATGCCGTTCGAGTTGTACAGCTGGGAAATTTTAAGCGGAGAAATCATTCAAAGGTTTACCGTGAGTAGAAGGATAAACTTACGACACGTTTCTCGCGAAAGTCAATCCCGACGGTTGAGATGAACTTGGTGTGGAAGACGCCATCTGTGTACTGGTAGAGGAAGCTCGTTTTGCCGACGCCTGAATCGCCGATGGTTAGGAATTTGATAAGATAATCGTAATCTATCGCTGTCGTCATGCTGATAAACGCTGCCGACCGCTGATGAACACCGCCCTCCTGCAGGATAAACGGAAACGGAAGAGAAGGGAGGAAAGATGCTAGTGTGTAATGAAATCGACTACAACGTAATATTTCAGATGACATGCATGTGGTTATGGCTTGAGATGGGAAGGGAAGTTCGTGCTGACTGGCTAAAGCTAAAACCCATGTTAAATAGTTAATGAACAGAATGCCATGATGGTTCTCTCCTTCCTCATCGAACGCTTGGCCGTTCAGAAGCGAGAATACCACATTGAGAAAGTCGTGCAAGGAAATTAACAGATTGTTATCGTTCCATGCTTTCATGACCTGCTGTTGCTTTTGGCATTGATAGACGCTTCGAGGAATCAAGCATACCTATATCGATCGAATGGAAAATTTCATCAACATACCGTAATTCGCTTGGCCGTAAACGGATCCAGCAGCAACAACCGTAGGACAATCGTGTCCAATTTAGACACAAAGCAACCCACTCTGACCAAACAATTAAAATCATCCCACGAGAATTATTCCGGAAATAATCCAACCGAACCATCGCAGCAAGCCATGTTGCACACGTGTGACGGCTATATTTTTGTCACCGTTTGCTACGATGAATTTATCATTATTTAAAATGCGAAAATGGAAACCACCAGAGCACAGACACACTTCGGCAAACAATCCCTGAAGGATATTCCCCCATGACAGCACCGCCCTCTGCCGCTTCGTACGTTCAAATAAAACTCAATTAGCGAAATGATGTTAGGGCGGTCGGTTGGTCGGTTGCTTGTGGTAAACGCGGGAAAAGTTGCAGTGAGCGAGTTGGGTAGTCGCATCGCGGTTTCAGGTACCCACTCGGTCTCGCGCAACTGAAGGACGATAGAGATTCAAACTCACTTGTTCGCAACTCTGCAACTTTGCAAACTGCAAAAAAAAAACTAGTGGGACGGGAACGGGAAGCGGTCCATTTTTAGTTTTTATTTATATCTGTCTGTAACCGCATGCTTGTAAGGTTTGACTAATGATGTCTCAAATTCACGGTTGGAAATACTGATTTTAATGCAGTTTTCATTTATTAAATAACGGTGAATTTCTGATTCGAGTCGCAACGCTTTAGTGAAAAAAAACTTACCTAAGGACATTTTCAAAACCCAGCACTATCTTGCTAGCAATTGCGATTAAGACCATATTTACGGAGATGAACTGTAATAAATTATTTAAATGGATTTAAATCACCAAAATTCACTAAACCACCCGAACTTACTTCGAGTTAAGATGTTGCGCAGTAAATTTCAATATATTGTCTTCAATTTAAATCAGCAGTTAATTACTTCTTTTAACTTCAAAGCACTCCACTCAAATGATTCGATAGACGCGGAGTAGCTTGGGTTGTGCCTAAAAACTAAAATAAGTTCAGGAAAGTTTGCAAAACAAATTATGAGAAGAAATTTAAGGAATTTGTGAGGAGAAATGCCAATGAATTCTAAGGAGACTACCAATGTAGTAGAATTCCAAGGGAAGGAGTGAGTTCAATAAATAGTCGGAGAATCTTTCCAAGGGGTTTCTTATTGTGGAGAATTTCAAGGTAATTCCGAGGAAAACTAAAAGAAAATTGAATTCGGAGGATAGCTTCATCGATATGTTGAGGAATATTTCTATAGAAATCTCCGCTGAATATGGAATGGACTATTCTTAAGGTCTTCAGAACTACTTCAATTTTTCTTGAAGTTAATGAAACTGCCTGGAAGTTCTTTTGTAGTTTGAGAGACTAGCCTGATGATCACAATACTTATCATCAAATTCTTAAACTTCCCTGAACTTTATAGGTCTTCCTAAAGTTTCCTCAATTTAACTAATGATCATTGATCTCCTCTAAAGGTTTAAAAGTTCACTGAAGTTTTCTAAACTTCTTTAAAACTTATGTGCCTTATCTAATGTTATCGGAACTGCTCTTAGGTTCTCTGTTCTTTTCTAAAATTCTTCTCTACAGTTTTAGCAGTTCTCATGAAGCATGTTGTAGTGCGCTGAATTTAATTGAACGTCCCAAAAATGTTTAAGCTTCAGCTCGGCTTTAGTGAACTTCTGAACTTAAGCAAAGACCTCAATTAACTTTTTAAAGTCTCTGAAGTTATCTGAAAATCTGAAAACTGCTTTCAATTTCCCACTACTTTGCTGAGGCTAACGGAACTAACCTCCCCCTGAAAATCCTCTAATTTTCGGAGCTTACTAAATTTCTTTGAAATACTCACGCATTTTGTTAATGTTCATAAAAATTCCTGAAGTCCGCGGATCTTTGATCAGTAAATTTCTATGAAGTTTCCGAAATGTTTCTGAGGACCACTGTCCTTCTGTGAAGTTTTCCAAGTTTTTCTAAATTTCTGAAACTTTTGTGCTCCCGCATATTTATGGAATTAGAACGAAATAATTAATATAGTTCTATGATTTTCACTGAAGTTCAAGATTTTCTAATTTTCATGAATCTTTCATTAAATTATCTACACTAATTTAAAACTTCGTCAATAGTCTAGACTTTCCTGGTGTTATTAAAACTGCCTAACGATTACGAATTTCTATAAAGTTCTTTAGACTGCCTAGCATTTATCAGTATCTTTTAAGAACCCCCAACTTTACTGAAATTAATTCAAAGTGTTTTTATGTTACTTCATACACGAAGTTAGCGCTTTTCAGAGTTGGTTGGAAATGCTAACATGAAGCTTTAGTGTGTTAATTTATTAGCTAGAGAATGCTCTTTAGAAGAGGATAGGTGGATAGTTCCGTTAGAGTACGGCAGTATGAAAATTGAATAGAAGTTGAAAATGAGCGAAGGGCTATTAATGCGACAGTATAAAGTCAAACGCACATCTTTTGCCTAACCCGTACGATGTACGCGGAGACTTGAAGTATGTGCCTGTAGACTTGCAGACATACTTCAAGTCTCCGCATTGTGAACGAAATTGATAAAATTGAAACTTAATAGTATTGCTGATTGCATCTGAAACTGGACTGCCCCAAAAATGCAAAAAGTGTGATAAAAGTGCACCTTTGCGTCAAATCGTTTTGGTGTGTTCGGAGCACTTATTGCTTGCATCATAACAAATAAGTGCACCGAAGACACCAAGACGATTAGACCGAAGCTCGCACTTTAATCACACTTTTTAATAAGTGAAAACGCGCTTATTAGTCCAGTTTGGTGTGAAATGCGCAATATATTAAATTTGTTGCTGAGAAATATTTTGTGAAATACTTAATGGGAAACTAATTGTAAGTAACTTAAACTAAATTAACCTAAAATGTTCCTAAATAATAAACTTTTACAGCTTTGAGCTGATCTCACCGCAAAGACGAGTAGCTTCAACGAAATCCAAATAATAAATTCTCGCAACAATTGTATTGCTCGAGCCCTTTAACAATATGCTGTCAAATTTCGGATGATTTCCTTATGATTGAATTCGTCATCAACTGATGAGCATACATATGAAGGATGATATTTATTGGAAAATTGGCTGTACAACATACAGGGCTTAGAGGACAACAATTTAAGGATAGGATGACTTGCAAATGCTTTAGATTAGATTATTAAATCGATTGTTTACATTTACATATATCCATTCATCATGGATACAAAAATCCCTTATTAGTTGGTAGAGGAAACTTCCTCCACCACGAAATTGAAAATTAACGGTTTCCACTCTTTGCCAATGCTCGTACCATCTCTAATAGCGATGGCTATATGCTTCCACCTCGTTTGTCTGCTCAGAGCAACAAATGACGTTCGATAGAATTATTTAAATCATCGTTTTGAATGATTTATGTTAAGGGGCTGAGCCAATACTAAATTTATTTCAATTTAAGATGACTACCATTCTACAGAGAGCATTCTCAATCGTTTGCTCAAGTTTGTCGAGGAAAATAACATTCTCCTTCCGGAACAGTTTGGGTTCAGAAAGGGGCACTCCACCAATCACCAGCTAGTACGGGTGATGAATAACATCCGAAGTAACAAAGCTGTATCCAAGTCCACAGCCATGGCCTTGTTAGACGTTGAAAAGGCGTTTGACAATGTTTGGCATGATGGACTTGTGTACAAGCTTTGTAACTTCAACTTTCCTTTACATCTTATTAAAATCACCCGTAACTACCTCCAGCAAAGGTCGTTTAAGGTATCGTTGAATGGTTGTCTCTCAGACACGTTTTCGATCCCAGCAGGAGTCCCGCAAGGTAGTCTGCTGGGCCCCTTGCTTTACAGCCACTGGCGTGCACAGGGTGGGGCAAGCTGGGGCAATTGCCCCACCTTTTATAAATAAGATTTTTATTTCCACATTTACAAAGTAAGGATAAAAAATATCTAGATTTCTTAATAACTTGATTTGCAGGTAAAATTGAAACCCTTTAATTGAGTCAATTCCTTTGAGATGGTGCCTAAAAATTGCACCACAAAAGTGCATGGAGGGACAAACTTCAATTAAATTTTTTTGGTCAAAAAATTGCACCACATTGATGAATACAAAACATTTCTGGTGTAATTTTTTTTTTCAAGGTTGTTCATGGAGGGTTAAAAGAAAAGGGTAAATGTAAGATTAAAAAATTCACGTTCGTGGTGGTAAATCGAAGAAAAAGCTTTTTATTGAATATTTCTGGTGTAACAATATCATTAAGATGGACTACTCAAAATGAATAACTCTAGTTCTAAAATTGAATCGTGAATCACATTTAACTGAAAATTTCTGGTGGAAACACTGTTGTGAATGTAAAAGCAAGGTTTATTACTTTTTCTGGTGCATAATTTGCATCGTTCTGATGAATGCAAGCTTCATTGAAAATTTATGGTGGAAAATTTGCACCATTCTCCATGAACAGGCAAAGCCTGAAAATTGTACCACAAAGGTGCATGGGGAAACAAACTTCACTCACATTTTTTTGTGCACCGTTCTGGTGAATGGAGGAGCATGCTCTAATGAAAATTTCTGGTGCGAAATTTGCATCGCTTTGATAAATGAAATAAACAGAAAATTTCTGGTGGAAAATTTGCACTAGTCTGG